ACAACAGCTCGTCGAGCTCCCCCTAAAACTCGGTACCTTGATCCATTAGCACCTCCCCGTACGCCCCGAAGCAAGTCAGCACCTGCTCCTCAAAGGCATCCGCCACTGCTGCTGCCGTTTTGTGGCTCAGAGCCCGCACCTCCACCCACTTGCTGACATGCTCGATCATAACCACTACATACCGCCTCCTCCTCTTGGTCAGTGGCAGCTCTCTGGCTAGGTCCGGTGACCACCGGTACCCTAGCCCCACCACCGGTAACGGTTGCAGCTCCGCCTTGCTCCTCTCGAACACCGCCCGGTTCCTGAAGCATGCCGGGCATCTGGTCACCCAGTCTTTGATGTCCTTCCTCATGCCCGCCTACCACCATCATGTCTACAGCAATTGCTACGTCTGAAGCGGTCCGTAGTGTCCCAGCTTGTTATGCACTTCTTAAATAATCCCTTCCCTCTCCTTCGGCTCAGGGACCCTCTTCCACCCGTCCTGCTTTCTGATCTGCACCTAGTCTTGGTACCAGCGGTAATGTTGCCCTGGGCTCCTTGCTCGCACCGACACTCCTGCCTTCTCTGTCGTCTCTCCCTTCAGCCATGCCAGGGTCTCCTGATCCTCCCAGACATCTGGGGCTCCGACCCGTTGCTCTCTGCGAAGTGGTGTGACCTGATCTGGAGTTAGTGCCGCCAGGGACATCTCTGGTGCCACTGCTGGCGGGTTCTTGGAGAGGCCATCCACATGTTGCATGGTCTTTCCCGGTCGGTGCTTGATGACGAACTGGTACTCCTGCAACTTCATCGCCCAACGGGCATACCAGCCCGTGAGGCTGTTATTCTGCATCAGCCACAACAGTGGTTGGTGGTCCGTGACCAACGAGAACGGCCTCCCTTGCAGGTACACTTGGAAGTGCCCTACTGCCCAAACCGCCACCAGTCCTTCTCCTTCATAGGAGGAGTAGTTAGCTTCCGTCGCATTGCAGGATCTGCTAGCGAACGCCACCACTTTCTCCACGCCTCCCTCTTGCTGACTCAAGATGGAGCCCATTCCTGCACTGCTCCAATCCATGTAGAGAACGAATGGCTCGTCTGCCCGCGGTAGCTGCAGCACCGCCCCTTCCTTCACTGCTGTCATGAGGTCTCTTATTGCTGCATCCTGTGGCTCGCCCCACTGCCACTTAAGATCTTCCCACAGCATCTTATTCAGCGGCGCCGCTCTCCGGCTAAAGTTCTCCACGAACTTTCGGTAGTAGCTCAGGAACCTCAGTAGGGCACTCAATGCGCTCTTATCCTTGGGCTCCGTCACTTGATCCAACACCGCCACCTTCGCCTTCTGAATCGCCAGATTCCCTACTGACACCTCGAACCCCAGGTAGGTGACCGATGTATGCCCAAAGCGGCACTTCTTGGGGTGACACGTCAACCCCGCCTCCTTGATTCTCCTCAGCGTCTCTGCTAGCCGTTCCACGTGTTCTTCCGCGGTGGCGCTGTATACGATGGCGTTGTCGATGTAGCACAGCGCCCCCTTCATGCCTCTCAACACCGCATCCATCACCTTCTGGAACAACAGCGAAGCGTTCTTCAGCCCAAAGGGCATTCGGTTCCACTCGTAAGCCCCATCAGGTTCGTGGAATGCAGTCTTCCCCTTGTATTCCTCTGCTATCGGGATCTGATTGAACCCTTGTCTCATATCCAGCGTAGATAATACCCGCGCCCCCGCCAGCTGATCGAAAATCTCGTCCACCATGGATGTCAAATATCTCTCTGGGAAAGTGATCTTGTTGAGTCCTTGGTAATCCCCGCACATTCTCCTGGACAGCACCGTTCCTGCCATGTCCGTTCAGGCGGCCACCACTGTAGCCGCCGCATAGCTGGATTCTAACCGCCAGATAAGCCCCGCCTCCAGCAGCTCCAGGCACTTCTCCTTGCACACCTCCAAGTCCTGAGGGCTCATCCGCCTTCGCCTTTGATAGATGGGGACTCGTCGTGGTCAGGTTGAGCATCATGACAGCCCGGTTGCAGCACCCCAACTCCTTTAGCGTGTACGCAAATGTCTGCCGGTGTTCCGCCAACAGTACTCGCATTGCCTCCCTTTGCTCCCCTTGCAAGGCTTCCCCCAGATCCCATGCTGGCTACTCTTCATCCTGCCTCCGGGCTGAGACCTCTTCAGCGCTCGCCTCTCTTCCATCCTCATCCCCGCGTGCTCCACTCCTCTCTGGCATGGCGTCCAGTGCCATGAATGCGGGTCCTATAGGCGGCCAGTCCGGCGGATCGAAGAAATCGCCCTCCATCTTGAAATCTGAATCATGAAACTCCTCCAGCGTGTCACCTCCGTCTTCCCCAGCGCTCTCTTCCATCTCCGCTTCCTCCTCCACTTCATCCTCCTCCTCACTTTCCTGCGGGTCGGCATACTTCCCTAGTATCCCCTCTCTGTCATCCCTCCAGCTGGGCATTCGGCGGTCTTCCGGAATGCCTCTCCACCACTGATTTTCTTCTTTCTCTTCTAGGCCTCCGAGCATAGTCCTCGCTTCCATCTCCTTGTCCGCTGCTAGTCGCGTCTGGGGCCTGACCACCGTGGCCTTGCCGATCCTCCTCTCCAGCCACTTCCGCTCCAGATGGTTGGTCATGGTGACGATGAGCCAGTGCAAGGAGTTCAGGTCCATTGCTCTCCCCAAAGCTGCGTGCCTATCCTTTTCTGTAAGTTGCTCGCATGTCGTTGCCCCAGCCAAACAGCCAATATCTAGTTCCCTTTCTTGCGCCGTCGGTTCTTCCCAGTCTCCTTGGGACACATCATACACCATGCCAGGTCCTTCACGATCCCCAACCTTCTTGAATCCCCTCGCATTCTCATGCACCACTAACGTCGGCCATGCCTGCCTTGGCTCCCCCACTCAGTTGCACGGGTACTGTGTCGGGTGGTCTTCTTCCGTGACCGCCGCCGCTATCCTCCCTGGTTCCAATACGTCTTCAACCAGTCTGGCCCTGGGTTTTGTTAAAGACTAAGGACGAGTCTAGAACGTTTAGGGGGCCGAAAATTCTCAAAATCGTTGGTCCTAATTTCTGGACAGAATCGTCGAGTTCACAAGAAACCCCGTCGACGAAAAACGCACCGTTGGAATTGTCTCAAACTTGATGTTGTAGCCCTTGACCAAGGCTATCTTTCCCAATTTGAATCGTATCAAAAGATGAAGTATATCTCGAGTTATCAATTTCGGCGCACTAGGGGGTATGCTGCCACAAGAACTTAACTCAATCACAATTGTTCTCACAAGTTCTCACAAGTTCCACACAAGAGAATTAAAGTCACTAGACACCAGGTAGGAGGGAAGAGAAGGACGAGAGGGAAGGTCCCAAGGGAGTCCCCAACCAAGGAAAACCCCATGCCACACAATTTCCCTCTCCATAGGCAACCCCACTTTTACTTTTGTCACTTTCCCAACCTCCACAATCCACCTCACCCAACTTGGCCACACTTACCAACCTGGTTTGGCTTCACCCAACCACTTGGCAGCATCTACAGTGATGGGCAAGAATTTCCCAACCCCCCAAACTCCGTACTCCATATGAAGTCAGCCCCACAACTTCCCGTAGTCACCACAACCAAATATCAAAAGCAAACGAACCTCAAACGTTCGTAACTTTCTCGTTCGTGCTCCGATTTGAGCGATCCTTGGCTCGTCGGAAAGCATTCGAGCAGAGAAGTCACTTCAGATATCTGCTCAATCCAAAAGACATTCACAAACACTCAAACACCAATCCACACGAAACACAAATTTCTTGCACACGCTCACACCACGCATGCAACGCACGAACATATGATGGGAGGCAGACAGACGTGAATGCGAATGATAGCATCACACAACAGGTCTCTCCATCCTGGATAGTTGATACCTCAGCGCAGCTTCTTGCACCACATTTTGCCAGTATCGTCTCGGCCGATGGGCCCTGCTCCCATTCTGTGCTGCATCCCAAGCCACTCCTGCCCCCAGCTCCCCTGTGATTTCCTCGTTGGCCGCATGCACTGCCTGCCTTGAGTCATCCGCCATGTCCACGTTCTCAATGATGTATGTCACTGTTCCCTGATGTTTCTTGATTGCCTTCAGCACCATCACCAGATCACAGAACTGCGCCCTCCATTCATCCCCCATGCCTCTGCCTCTCCCCGCCCTCGAGAGCCCTTGACTGCTCCAACGGCTATCACCAGGTCTATGCTTCCCCATGCCGCAAGCATGTTGTCGTCTATCTCTTCCACACCTCTGCACAGCCACTCTGCTCCTCTTTCAGATGCTTTCGGCATTAATTGCCCTGGGTACCGGGCCTTTAACAGGTTGATGTGATGCCAGGCCATGAGATTTGCTTCTCCGCTGTTGTCCACGTACAAGTACTTGCTCACTGCATGTCCGACCTTCAACACCGCCGCCAAGCCCATGGCTATCCCTCCGTACAGCTCCAGCAGCACCAGTGGCTTCTGGAAAGCACGTAGATTCAGCTGCTGTTCCCGCAGGTTGTCACTGAGTCCCTTGATCTCCTCGTGCTGCTTCCTTGCCGCCTCCATCTGCCCCATCTCCTTCCAGGTCAAGATCCCTAGTTCTTCTTCCAGGGACTTCTCCACCACCTGATACGCCTCCTGGGCTCTCTCCTGACAAATCTCACCGGCAACTTTGCCAAGGGCGTGCCCTGCTCCCAGTATGTCACTCAATACAGCTTCGTCCCAATCGCGAAGAGGTACTCCACTCCCAGCAGCAGGTCGTAATCTTCTGATGTGGATACCCCACAATGCATCCGTACCACGCACTACCCAGCCCCTTTGACAGCTTTCTCGCCTTGGCCCACTCGGTTGGCCACTTTGATAACGTACAGGAGGCAAAGCATCGGTGTTGTAGAACTTGTCCCACAGCACCTTCGAATCGTGTCCATCCCACACAATCATGGGCCGGGAATGTTGAATCTACGTCACTGCGTGCCATCGGAAAGCCCAGGTAGCATGAGCGTCCACCTAGCACAATTTTGTCAGTCTAGCGAGAAGTGCCTCTGTCTTGGCGGATGCCGCAGCTCTTGTCACGATTTCCTTTATCCTCGGTCAGCCGTTTGGTCGGAGTAGCTTCACCTGCGCCAGAAGGTGCATCTATTTCAATGGCATTCGGAAAGAATCCAACTCCAGTAACCTCCACCACCTTCTCCTCCTCCTCCTCCTCCTCCTCCTCCTCCTCCTCCTCCTCCTCCTCCTCTTCCTCCTCCTCCTCCTCCTCCTCCTCCTCCTCCTCTTCCTCCACCACCTTCTCATCCTCATCCTCCTCTCCTCCTCTCCTCCTCTCCTCCTCTCCTCCTCTCCTCCTCCTCCTCCTCCTCCTCCTCCTCCTCCTCCTCCTCCTCATCCTCCTCCTCTTCGTCCTCCTCTGCCACATCCTCTTCAGTTGTACCTTGCATCTATTCCACTTTGTACCCTTCCGACATACACGTCCTCCTCTAAAATCATATAGAGTAATGCCGTTGATATATCTATCTGAATTAAGTATTTCCACTAAAGCCTGCGCCTGCCAGCAAGTCTCGGAAGGTAAGGGGTTTGGCAGTTGGAGCAAAGAATTTGTTGAAGTCCTGCTTCTCCTTCTAAAACTAATTAGCCACCGTCCTACTCTTGTACATGGTGACCTGCTCCTTATCATCGGTCTTGATTCAGCACCCACTTGCACTGTACCGCTTTCTTCCCCTCAGACAGCACCACCAGTTCCCATGTCCCGTCCTCTAGCTGGCTCTGGTACTCAGCATCCCTAGAAGCCAGCCACTTGTCCCTATCTGGTCCAGCAAGTGCCTCCTCCATGCTAGCCAGTTCCTCTGGTACAGGAGCAAGAAAACTGTATGCAGGCTCGTCCCCCTCATCCGGGTCAGAGCCTTGAGGCAAAATCAGTAACGCCTCCTCATTCCCAAGCTGCTGCTACATCAGCTCCTGCATCCAGCTTTATTGTTGCCATGCGGGTGCGTCCTGGCCTAAAGACGGGTGTCTCCTATCCCTTCCTAACGACACGCTTCGGCTTTCTCCTTTGTGGTAGCTTAGGCACCTTAGCTTTGCCCTGCTGTTGCTCTCTTCCCTCAAATCCAGCAGCTCCACTAGTGTTACCACTAGCTTCCACACCATCTCCTCAACCAGTAGGTGCCTCGTGCAGCTTCTCTCCATCACCATCCCCCGCAGCTGCCTCTTCTCCGTCCTACCAGACACTAAGAGTCAGGTCCATTGGCATGCTGGGAATCCTTTGCCTCCGACAGTTTCTCCCAGCTCCCTTCATGCCCTCAACAAACATCACATCCCTGCTGTCAAGCAACACACCATTCGGTGGTTCCCACAGCAGGCATTCCTTTGCTTTCAGCAGCTAGACCTGAATGCACTCACCAAATTGCACCTGCCCCCAACTTACTTCGGTGCTTCTTAGGGACATGGGCTATTGCCCTGCAACCGAACACCCTCAGCATGTCCCCAACGGCTTTTTCCCAAGCCACCTCTCCAACAGCAACCTGGAATCATCCCCAACCTGGGTGAGCAACCTTTTCCTAGCGACAGTAGCGAGCCATGGGGCCATATGGGGTTCCCCAAACCAGATTCTGTTAGCAGCGCCCTAATTGTGTCCAAAATCGTCCGGTTCGCCTGTTGTGCTACTACACCGTTGGACTGTGGGGTGTAAGCCGTGGTCAGCTCCCTCTGGATGCCCTACTTCTTAAGCCAGGTCGTCATCGCAGCTCCAAGGAACTAATCACCCCGGTCTGTCCTAATCCGCTTCAACACACATTCTGATTGCTTCTCCACGAAAGGCAGCCAAACATCTCACTCTGTTGAATCAGCATGGTCCTTTTGCTTTAGAGGATACGCCCATGTTAGTTTGCTAAAAATCATCCACAATCGTGAGGAAACACTGCTCTCCCTTGTGCCCCTGAACCGGCAGCGGCCCCACCAAGTCCATGTGGACGAGCTCCAAAGGATTCTTGCCCCTGCCTGCCGCGCTAAGGAAGGGAAAACGTGTCAATTCGAAAAGCAATAAAATTTTCCATTTGTTATTGGGTGGCTGTCCGTTCAACTTCAGACCCTTGACAGCTTTGTCCTTCTCCAGATGCTTCAACAAGGGCATTGCCAGATGCCCCAAGCATCAGTGTGCTGTTGCTCAATCTGTCTCCCCAAACCTGGCCAACGCTCTCACACTAAACTTTCCAAAGGCGTTGCACTCCCCCTGAGAGGCAAACTCCTCTCTAGGCTACCCCCGTTGTGCCACGATAATGCCTGCATCTGCCATTTGGACTTGTACACATCCTTTATTTCGTGCAGTTCCCAAAGTACCCGATTGCCCAGGTGCCCCTTGTAAGTGCGTGCTCCATCAGTGCTAGTGCTCAACCCAGCCTTGGCAAGCTTACGAAGAAAAATCAGATTCGCCTTGAGATCCGGGACGAGGAAAACATCGTGCAGCAAGACCGGCTTGCCATCCGTTCCCATGATCGCTGCTCATCCTGCACCAGCCACCTTCAGCGCGTGTCTAGAGGCAGAGCACACCTTATTGATCGGCACGGCATCAACATCCAAGCAGCGCCGGTGTTTAACACACAAAAATTCAGCGGGTGCAGCATTGCTTCAACCTTGGTAGAGGCGTCTCCTTGCTCCCCCTTGTCTCCGACATGGAATAATTGGCCCGTGGCGCGCTCCTTTTTCTTTTCAGTTGCCCTTCGGGTCGATGTTGGACGAATCAGCGACCATGTTCGCACCATTTTTCTGGTTCCTCCTCACATCACCATCCTGGTGATGTTCTTGGGGGGTCCATCCATTCTTATTACACAAGAACCAGCAATTCCCTTTCATTTTGTTCGCGCTCCCCTTGGCGCCGAAACACCAGAAGCGTTATGGCTCGGACAGCGTTTGCCTAGCGTCGTAGTCCTAGCGTACTAGCATTGACTCGGGTAGCATTCCGCCGTTGAACCTCGTAGAAACGAATTCATAGCAAGGAAAAAATTCCCTTGAATATATTGACGATATCCAGACTACAATCAGAGGAGAAATAAATAGCTAGAGCTAGTAAGGACCTCGGGAATCAACGTGGAAACAACCAGGGATGATTTCAAATATTTCTAAGCAGCGGAACTAACCTGGCTGGACAAAACAGCAGGTGGTAGGTTGGTAAACAACCTCTGGTTCTATTTTTCCAACCTGGGAAAACAATAACCAGGTTCAGGAAAAAAAAAAAACAGAACGTGTTTCGCCCTTCCCCTGGCCCTGTAGCATGCAGATACAGACAAACAACATCCAACCTTCACCTAAATTCTACCTCTATAGGTGCCTTCCCTGCTACACAATAGTGAACCAAACAAAACAGTACAATTTCGAGTTGGATAAAACTAAATCTGCGCATTCAAACAACCGAACCGTAAAGCTTCCATCTTTCAGAATCACTAGGCAAGAATGAATGAACTAACAGGAGTTTGGGTACAAATATGAAACCCTAGTTGGGGTTGTACCCCATATTGGCTACCCCACTACAGCCTACAAGCATAATACAGTTTAACACACCCCCATAGGCAAAGTGGGGGAGAACAAAGGGTCACAAGACCAGTCCAGCAAAGCAAAGCAACGCCCAGGGTGGATCACAACGTCACCACACTCCGAGCACAAGTAAAGGCCACAAGGCCAGTTCACATGCAGTGCTAGATATAGTACAAGACAAGCAACACAGTGATCAAAACCTAGCAAGCAAGCAACAAGATATATATAAAGTACAGTACAAAGAATGTCAAGCAGTGAGCAAGTGAGGAAACGTGGACACAAGGCCTAAAGAAGTACAGTGCCGCTGATGATCACTAGGCGGGAGCGCCTTGGTGAAGATATCAGCAGTGTTGGCCTTCGAGTCCACGTACACAAGCCGAAGCTGACCGCGCTGCTGAAGCTCTCGAGCAAGAAAGTAGCGAAGAGCAATGTGCTTCGTCCTGTGCTCCAGTCTGTGCTCCTGACACAAGGCAAGAGCCGCCTTGTTGTCACCGTACAGAACTGGAGGAGAACTAGGCCGCTCTCCCAAGTCAGTCAGCAGGTAGGTGAGCCAGCGTAACTCCTGTGCAGCCATGGCTGTGGCGTAGATCTCAGCCTCACAACTAGAGCCGAGAACAGAGGAAGAGCGGGTGGACCGCCACGAGACAGAACCAGAGCCAAGGCTGAAGGTGTAACCCTGTGACGACCGCTGCATAGCCAGGTCGTCCACCCAAGAAGCGTCCGAGTGACCAGTGAGGACAACTCTGTCACGTCCTCCAAGCACCAGCCCCATGCCTGATGTACTGCACAGGTAATGCAGCACCCTCTTAGCAGCCTCCCAGTGCTCTCGCCTGTGTCTCCCAGGCGCAACGTAACGAGCAAGGATGCTAAGAGGGTACGCGAGGTCAGGTCGCGTGCAAGTCATCAGGTACATGAGGCAGCCTACAAGCTCTGGGTACGGGCCACTCGGCTCTACGGACTCGTCCGAAGGTGGAGCTGAGAGCGAGTGGCTGGTAGCCAGAGGTGTGGCCTGTGGTGAGGAGAACTGGAAGCCGAAGCGCTGAAGGACCTGCTGCACCATGTGTGACTGAGTCAGGGTGATGGTGCGGCGAGCTCTGTCCCGGGTGATCTGCAAGCCAAGGTAGCTACGCAGTTCACCCAGGTCAGTGCAGGTGTGTCTCTTCTGCAGCTCCGACTTCACACGAGCGAGTGCCTCAGTGTCAGCAGTAGCAAAGACCAAGTCGTCGACGTACACGAGGATGTAGAACGGCGGCAGCGACGTGTCTGTGCGCAGAAACAGCGACGGGTCAGCAGTAGACGGCGCGAACCCAAGAGCCGCAAGAGTAGTCCTCAGTGTGTCGTGCCACTCACGTGGCGCCTGGCGGAGACCGTAGACTGGCCGGCGGAGACTCCACTGGGTACCAGGGGGAAACGACCCAGTAAAGCCAGGTGGGCGGCGCAGCCAGATCTCCTCGTGCAGGCTGCCCTGCAGGAACGCTGTGCTGAAGTCAAGAGAGTGAAGCTCGTAGTCACGCTGAGCAGCAACGTGCAGCAGAACCCGAAGAGTGGTCATCTTCGGGGTGGGGGAGAAGGTCTGGAAGAAGTCGACCCCCTGACGCTGACTGAAGCCTCTAGCAACGTAACGAGCCTTGAAGACAGGCGGAGAACCTGGCGGCCGCTTCACCCTGAAAATCCACATGCCATCGACGATGTTCGCCCCAGGAGGGGGAACCTCGTCGACGTAGGTGCCTGTGGACTTCCAGGATGCCATCTCTGCGTCCATGGCTGTCTGCCACTGAGAGGAGTAGGGACCCGAGATCGCCTCTGCGTAGGTGCGCGGAGTGGGGATGTCTACTGCATCCGGGTCTCCCTCAGGGGCAAGCAACCAGGCCACGAGATGAGGTACAGCAGCCG